GATGCACATCTCCCACGTCCCCTTCCCTGGGCCTCAGGCCGATCCCCTGAGGCATTGGCAAGGGCTTTGCCCTCTTCCTATACTGTACTGCCTTGCATGCCCTGCCTCCTTCCCCTCTTGAGATGGCCTCAGTTTCTCCCTTTCGCAGCTCTGCTCCTAGCGACTGAGTCCTCTTCTCTGGGGTGTCGGTGAGTATCCTACTACCCCTTGTCCCTTTTGCTTGAGGAACCGGGTCTGTCGAAGAGGAGTTTTGGTGCCACCCGACCCCTCGGCCTTTGATACAGATTCTCCTCTGGCTGGTTTCCTGCGCAGAAAACCTCTGCTTGAGTCTGCTACCCTTTCTAATTCCCGACCCTTTCTCTCCGGACATCTTCTGCCAAATTTCTTGAAGGAGTCGTCTACACCCTCTGCCTCCACTTCCTCTCCACCCACTCATTCCTTAACCCCCTGCAATCTGGCTTCCAGGCCACAGCAGCCGCCTCTCCCAGGTCACCAGGCATCTTCTCACCAAACCCGACAGCATTCTCTGAGGCTCATGCTCACGTTCTGCAGCGGCCTGCGGAGCTCTGCTGCCTTCCTGAGCTCTTCCCTGGCCTGCACTCTCAGAGGCCACCTTCTGCCTCTCCAGCCTGGCCTCCAGGTTCCTCGGGGTCTTCTTCTTCTCTGCCTTGCCCTGTGGTGGGCACTCTCCGCCCAGCCAATCAGCACATCCTTCCTGAGTGGCTCCTTCGTGGTTTTCTCTTTCTGCACCTCTCCATAGGAGAGGCCATCACCCCACTGCTTCACCTGTCACCTCCATGCAAACGACACACTTGCTGGAAAAGCTCAGGAGGTCTATGAAGAGGGCTACCATGTTTGGGAGGAGGTGTCTCTCTGGTGGCAGGCTGCCAGTCTGCCCTCCTCCTTCCCCATCGCGCTCTCCTTTTCACAGCTGAACTACCTGGGGCCCCCTTTCAACGAGCCTGACTTCAATCCTCCTCGGTTGGGGGCAGAGACCCTGCCCAGGGCCACTGTCAACTTGGAAGTGTGGCGAAGCCTCAATGACAAACTGCGGCTGACCCAGAACTATGAGGCCTACAGCCACCTCCTGTGTTATTTGCGCGGCCTCAACCGTCAAGCTGCCACAGCTGAACTGCGGCGCAGCCTGGCCCATTTCTGTACCAGTCTCCAGGGCCTGCTGGGCAGCATTGCAGGAGTCATGGCAGCTCTTGGCTACCCACTGCCCCAGCCTCTGCCAGGGACTGAGCCAGCCTGGGCCCCTGGCCCTGCCCACAGTGACTTCCTCCAAAAGATGGATGACTTCTGGCTGCTGAAGGAGCTGCAGACCTGGCTATGGCGCTCAGCCAAGGACTTCAACCGGCTTAAGAAGAAGATGCAGCCTCCGGCAGCTTCGGTCACCCTGCACTTGGAGGCCCATGGCTTCTGATCTCTGACCCTTAGCTCCCCCAGACCCCCTGCCCCAGTCAGCTGTGCTTCCATTCTGGGGTGAAACCCCTGCATACCAACATTTGTTGAGCCAGGAAACAGACAGTGGGAACTCTGTCCTCCTCTGCCATGGGTGGGGAATGTGAGCCCTGTCCCTTGACTAGCTCCTAGAGTCCTAGGGCCTCAGAAAAGGTGGCACCATCCTGTTTCCACAGAGGTCATGCTTGAGGGAGTCAGATGGCTCAGGCGGGTATAAAGGTGCTCCCTTGCTCTCTGCTCACCACTTGCCAGTGCCCACTCCATTCCTCAGGTGGCACTTGCAGAAACACACCTGGAGGGCATGGGTGGGGCCACTGTAGCATGTACCTTTCTGGGCTGAAGCCCCTTGGCTTCCCTCCCTCTCCTTGGATGGGTGTTGCTCCCCTACCCCGGTAACTACATATCCAGTTCAGGAAACAAGATGACCATGCTAGGGAGTGAGGGGTAGGGTCTGTGCTGGAGGCAGCCTAGAAGCCAGAAGATGTAACACTAAGAGAGGTGGGCAGGGACGGACCAGACCCAGCCGTCACCAAGGCGATTGGTGGCACAGGGCGGAAACCCAAAGCTTTGTTGAGCATCAGGACCTCGCCTTGAATTTTCTTGCCGGCATCTCGGTGCCTCCTCTCCGTCCCCTTTCCCAGGGTATCTGTGGTTGCCTGGCCTGGGGAGGGCAGCCACAGCCACAGCCACAGGGTTTCCTGAAAGTTTACATTGCAGTAGCATTGTGGGGTGAGGGGGATGGCTCCCCAGGCCCTATCCCCAGCCCCACCCACTCATGACTCTAAGTTTGTTGTATTAATATTTATTTATTTGGAGATGTTATTTATTAGATGATATTTATTGCAGAATTTCTATTCTTGTATTAACAAATAAAATGCTTTCCCCAGAACTTGGACTCTGCCTGGCCCGACAGTCTTCCTGGGGCTCATTGCTGGTGACTCTAGACTTGCCTTCCAATTCCCACTGTTTCCTTATATCTGGAGGTACACAGAGCTTGGGGTGCAGGCTCTTCCTGGTGGTCCTGTGCAACACAGGCTCCTAGAAGCCATCCACTCCTTTGCCACACCAGAATGTCCTGGTCCTCCTGAAGCTGTGGGTGTCATGTCTTTGCCTGGCTTCCTTGCCTCTGGACTGCTTTTCTGGTCCCCAGGTCTGTCTGGCCGTGAATTTTTCCACTTCGGTCCAGCCTGCACTTAGTGGGGAGAGCCGACTCTTGCTGATCACTAAGTCCTGACATTCAGTCCCAGACTCCCCCAGGCTCCCTCAGGCTCCCATCAGTGCTGCCTGCTGGAGCCCTCACTGCAGTCTTCTCCTAGGGAGGATGATGGACACTAGCCAAGTCCATGTTCTTTGCTATGGATCTGTTCTTTTCCCGCCAATGTAAAAGCCTATTTGGAGGAAGAGAATGCGTATTGGATTGCAGGAGAATTGGAAGGATGGGAGGGATAATCTCAGTTCCAATGTCATTTTATAGCCCGCTAGCTGGGTAGCCTCAGACAAAGTTTCCCCGCCTTCGGTTTCCCTGTCATCTATAAAGTGGGGATATTAAATACGCTTATGCGGTTGTTGGAGAGGGTAATGGAAATCTCAAAGGTGCTTGGCTATCGCAGCAACCGCTCCAGTGATTACAGGTTAGCTGGAACATCCCTGTGTCATGACATTTTAGTTGTGAGCTGCTGGATAAGTTAATGGGTTAATTGCGCCCAGGAAACACATGGCTATTTTATGGGAAGAGCCTCCTAAAGATAATGCCTTAAGCAAGGAAGTAACAAATGATGGTAGTGCCGGTCAGCTGACAGATACTTTAAAGCCCTAATTACCTGCCCTTCACTGTGCTGGTTGGGTATATTGAAGCCAGAAGACTCAGGCCTAACTCGGCTCCTGCCGCTTTGGAACCTGCAATTCACTTAGGAAGAAAGATCAGTTTCCCCAAAATGATACAGAATAGAAGCACATTCACATGATGTAGTGGCTGAGGCAAGGGTAAAGTGAGGGTGTGGGCAGAGGAACTTCTGCAGCCTAACCAACCTGTGTCCTGTCCTAGAGTGAGCTGGCCCAAGTGGAACATGCCCTGCTTCTATGGACTGGGATACCTGACCAGACACTCACAGGACTCTGCCTCTTTGCCTGAGAGACCTGAGGCACCAGGGCTTTCTCTATGCACAGGAAAAAAGGATACTGACTTGTGACATGCAAAATATTACATGGGTAGGAGGAAGGCAATAAGGAAAGCAAGGGTTCTGTCTTCCAGGTCTTTCTCTTTAGTATCACCCCCTTTGTTCCTTCTTCCCGTTCCTCTCTCCCTCTCCTTTTCTTCCTTTCCTCTCTCTCCCTCCTCTGTCTCCCCCCCCCCAGCCTCCTCTGTGGCCTTGGCTGCCCTTGAACTTGCAGCCCTGCCCCCACCCCTGCAGTGCTGGGGTACAAGCACACATCACCGCGCTCTGCTCTGCTCTTCTTCCCTCTGTGCAGAACCCAGCTCAGGCTCCAACCTAAAGGTGTTTCTCGTTATTCTGTAACGTAGAACAAACAATTTAGAAATGGGAGTAGTAGGATGATCTCCCATAATGCTGGGCTCTGATGAGGCAGATTTGCTTAAATGTAGAAAGACCTAGGCAATGGGCTGGCAAGATGACTCAGTGGTTTGAGACACTTGCTGCCAAGCCAAACAACCTGAGTTTTATCTCTGAGACCCACATGATGGAGAAAGGACCAATAAATATTAAGAAAGGTAAGAAGTCAAGCAGGCAGACCCATGCAAATGGAAGTCTAGGACAGGGCTGTACCTAATGGGGTGAAGGGTCGAGGCTGGGACCACTTGGGAAGGAAGCAGTACCTGAAGCCATTGATGTATTTAAGTGCCTGGCACAGCAAGCGTTCAGTACACCCTTTGCATATGGCACAGGGTGGGATTCAAAACCATTCTCAGGGCAGGAAGATTGTGGACGGGTGGAGAAGACAGGGCAGGAACAGGTAAGTCTCCTCAAGCAGACGGGCAGACTCCAGGGTTGTCAGCCAAAGATCCTGATAGTGTTTTAGCACCCTTCCCATCAGTAAAGTCCTTGGCATTTGATTTAAACTGGTGGAGAGACTGCAACAAGAGCGTTTTTAGAAGCTGAGAGCCAATCGGCAGTCTCATGCTCCAGGAAACAGAGAAGGAAGTGGAGGTTTCTGCTGACCGCTCCAGTGGACAGCAGATTAGCATGGCTTCTCTCAGTGTGGCAGCTGGGGGTGTGGTCAGCACCACACACACACACACACACACACACACACACACACACACACACGCACACACATCCTGAAAGCCCTTCTCCCTAGTTTGACATGGGTCATATGGAGAGAGCCAGGTACTGAGAAGATGGAGCAGGTAGAAGAGAGGGAGGACAGCAGCTGCCCAGGGCTCAGTTGGGATGTAAGGCACACCCCATTTCTTTCCCTCTTTTACCCACCCACCCCTTCCTCAGGTCCTGCCACTCACCCTGTGCTGGAGCTCAGTCCAGCTGAGGGGATTCTAGGCAGCCAGATGAACACCTCTGCAAACATACTAGCTCAGGTGGTTAGGAAACCACAGGCAGCTTGTTTGTTTTGGGGTATAGGGAGCTGTGTAGACTAGGCTCTCTTACATCATAGTGATCCTCCTGCTTCAGTGTCCTGAGTCTGCCACCATGCCCACCCCATAGGAACCTTTGAAACAGCAGGTGAGAGGCAGTCACCAAAATGTGAGTCCGAGAAAGATACAGTGTGAAGAAAGCCGAAGTAAATACAGAGTCTCAGTGCCCTGTAGTAAAGAGACAGGGTCAGGAAGGCTTATTGTTTGTCTGTTTTAAAGAGAAGGGTTCGAAACATGTTATTACCAAATGTGGAGGTGGTAGCTGAGGAATGGAGAGATCTGGGGTGTAGACAAAACGGAGAGAATCCCAAAGCTTGCTAGGAAGAACCAGGTGATCTTAGCAGACACGTTTTTCTTGTGAGTCCCATTTGTGGCATTTCCTACCCAGAGCCTCCCAGTGCTGGTGCTTAGCCTCCAGGCAGCTGCTTTTTCTCCTAGGTGTGGGTTTTTGTCTCCTGTGCATCTTCTCCAAGCACGTACGATGATGGGGAGGTTTCCAGTGCACAGTGCTGTCTGGAGACAAGGAGGAAGTCAAACCCTTCCATCTCCACTCTTGCTCCTTCCTTTCCCCGCTAAGGACACAGGACTTCTGGACTCAGTGCCTCTAGGCAAGAGGTGAGGGCAGAGTGAAGAGGGCATTTTTCAAGACCACGGACCGGCAAGACAGGAATAGACATGAGGGACCTTGGGGTGCTAGAAATGGAATTGTTGAGGTGCTGCGCCATACATTACAAGCAGTGCAGACAGCAGAAGAAACAGGCTACTTCATGGGGGAGCACTGGAATTCACACCTAGAGAAAGCTGGGGTGGGGAGGCTTAGGGTAGCCACAAGTGCGAGCAGGTTCAGAGAACTTTCCAGAGCTTTAGTTTTCTCCTTCTTTCCTTCCTTCTTTCCTTCCTTCCTTCTTTCCTTTTTTTTCTGGTTTTTCAAGACAGTCTCTCGTAACTCAGGATGACTTTGAATTTACTGTGTAAACCAAGGATGGCCTTGAGCTCAGAGACCCACCTGCTTCTGCCTCCTGCGTGCTGAGATTAAAGTCGTGCACAACCAGTGCTTGACAAGTTACAACTCTTAAGTGTGGTCTGAAGAGTCAGAAGCCCAGGTACTGAGAAACCACCATGCAAATCTACCTGGATCTCTTCAGTGTGATAGAGGCAGGGCGCTGTCTCCAGAAGTCCTGTGTCCTCAGCGGGGGAGGAGCAAGAGTGGAGATGAAAGGGTTTGGCATCCTCCTTGTCTCCAGACAGCCCGTGCATATGGAAACATCACTGTCATCTTACGTGCTTGGAGAAGATGCACAGGAGGAAAGGCAGCTCCCTGGAGATTGGGTTAGCAGTGAGGAAGCTCTGGGTAGAGGGGATTCATCATGGCTCACCAGAAAATGACAACAGCTGGGACACGGGACCCCTCAGCCACGACAGTCAGTCAGGATGCGGGGACCCCTGAGCCACGACAGTCAGGATGCGGGGACCCCTGAGCCACGACAGTCAGGACAGCCAGGATGCGGGGACCCCTCAGCCACGACAGCCAGGATGCGGGGACCCCTCAACCACGACAGCCAGGACAGCCAGGATGCAGGGACCCCTCAGCCACGACAGCTGGGATGCGGGAACCCCTCAGCCACGACAGCCGGGATGCGGGAACCCCTCAGCCACGACAGTCGGGATGCGGGGAGCCCTCAGCCACGCCAGTCGGGATGCGGGGAGCCCTCCGCCACGACAGCCAGGATGCAGGGACCCCTCAGCTGCAAGGAAACTCATGGACTTGCTCATCTCACACAAACACATTCACCAGTTGCCACAGCCACAGCTACCCAAAATGGAGAAGGCAGAGAGAGGGTAGTCCTTGTTCCCCTTAGCCTAGAATACAAAGGGCAGCGATTCAGGCCTGGCTGCAGATTCTGATGGCTGTTCCCTCTGAGTACTCCCTTCTTCTGTGGAGCCATAATTATCCCTGCCTTTGTTCTCTCAATTCTTGAACTCCCTGACTCAGTCTGGTGTCCGCGTTTCCTAGTAGGAGGGAAAGCTTGTGGCGCGGTGGCAAAGGTAGTGGGGGAATTGTGAGAGAGCCATGGGTCTGGGTTCCAGTCCTTTTATCTTAACCCTCAGGGTCCCTAGCCCGGGAGTTCAGAGATGACTTGGGGGTCCCTCCCCAACTTTCCTTGACCTCCAGGACTTGGCTCTTAGGGACTAACGAGGACGTCTTCCCACTGGACAAAGTCTGACACCTGGTGGCCATAGTGAGAAATGACCAGAAGGGTGCCTTTTCGAACCTTGCCCAGCATTTCTTCTGAACTGTTTGTAGGCCCAGGTGAAATGGGAGCTGATCAGCGAGGGTACGGGAAGTTCCTGGGCAGGGCAGAAAGGACACTAGAGGCCCAGGGAAGCCTTCTTGTTCCCCAAGGTTCCTACCCTTTAAATCCATGAAACCTCAAACCTAGCCGGCTAAGGAGCTGTGTCTGAGAGGGTGGAGAGGGACTAGGAAGGCGCTCCTGAGGGAGTGTGGCACATGGGGAAAGGAATGAAGGCAGGAAGAGTAAGGCATTCGGGGCGTTCATCTGGCTGCCTAGAATCCCCTCAGCTGGACTGAGCTCCAGCACAGGGTGAGTGGCAGGACCTGAGGAAGGGGTGGGTGGGTAAAAGAGGGTAAGAAATGGCGTGTGCCTTACATCCCAACTGAGCCCTGGGCAGCTGCTGTCCTCCCTCTCTTCTACCTGCCCCATCTTCTCAGTACCTGGCTCTCTCCATATGACCCATGTCAAACTAGGGAGAAGGGCTTTCAGGATGCGCGTGCATGTGTGTGTGTGTGACCACACCCCCAGCTGTCACACTGAGAGAAGCCACACTAATCTGCTGTCCACTGGAGCGGTCAGTAGTGAGTCTCAGTCCCAGAAGGCTGCTGGACTTCTGCTCAGGTTATTTGTTCCCATGGTCTCACCAGGACTTTGACCTTGGACATGGCAAGGCTTTGGGTATCTCCAAGGTGCAATAGTTAATTCCTTCTGGGTCCATCACCAGCTTTGGAGGGGTCAGTGCTGACCAAGTATACTTTGCATTACAAGACAGAACTGAGCACCAACACAGACTGCCAACCTAATCTCCAATCTGAGAACTGAACATCAGCTTGGTGGATGAGCCCAGGAAGCTGCCTGAGTGGGGGCAAAGTGTTCCAGGTATGAAGGAAAAAAGATGAGATTGGGGGAAAGGAGGAAGACATCCAAAGATAGAAGGCCAAGGGCTAGTCAGTTCCCCAAACACCTCAGAAAACCATCGGGCGCTGAGCAGGGCTGACTGGGAGAAGAGAGCATGCCTCCTAGGGAGAGCTGCCTCACCCCAGGTCAGAAGGCCAGTCCTAAGGTCCCGGAACTCAGGTAAACACTCTGGATCTCTCTCTGGGGCTGAGGGAAGCTAAAGCCCGTGGGAGCTCTTTCCAGACAGTGTGGGAGTGGCTAGCTGGGTCTGAGCCAGGCAGAGCTAGGAGGGGGAGCAGGTAGGGATGGCCCTCCACAGAGGAAGTCGGGGTGTTAGGGGCTGCCAAAGAAGAGAGAGGAATGGGCCCAGGCGGTAGTGGGAGCTGCTGTGGCCGCCCAGCGGCACACCCCATTTCACGCTCCCTGGGCGGTGGCAGGCCCCACGGCTATCAGCTTTCAGGGGTGGGAGGGACCAGGAATGAGGAGGGGTCTGCCCCACCCATGGTTCCCCCGCTTCCTCAGGGCTTTGTGGACTCAGGAAGTGGGTGCCACATACCTTTGGGAACTGTCCCCAGTCTCTTTCTGAGGCCCTTTTAGGGAGGAGTGGTCAGTCTCACAGAACCTAGGAGCTAGCCCACTATAGAGCACTCAGCCTGACTAGACCTAATCCTATGCCCTTCCCTTCTTGGTAGAGAATCCTCCCTGTCACCCTCCTCAACTCTGCATGGTCCCTTCTCGCTGGATGTGTACACCCCACCCTGTCCAGGAGACAGATGGGGGGATTAGGCGGGGGCCAACCCAAACAATGGGGCTGAAAAGGGCCTTCCAGGTCTTTGCAGTGTGCCTTGCCTCACAGCTCCTTCCTCCTCAAGAAGCGGATGGGGAAGGCCAGGCCAGAGGAGGCTCCTGAAGACACAGCCTTCTCCTCCCCACGGCTGGGCTCCTCTCTAGGGCTCGTCTCTGAGAGCCCCGGTGCTCGCTAGGACAGATCTCAGAGCTTCAGAGGAGGGCACAGGCCTGCAAGCAGCCCCCAGTAGACTTTGCACCCCTGGAAAGAAGAACCGGATAGGATCTGCAGAGGGTGATTAGTGCTGGGTCAGCCCAGTGCTGGTTCCCAGACTCCCACTGGCCAGCACTTTCCCCCACTGCCAGGAAGTTGGTGAGGGGGAGGTGGTAGTGGGGGTGAGTCAGCGATGACAGGAGCCCCAAGACAAAGGTCATGGGTGGAGAATTGAGAGACACTGTTTACAGCAATCTGCCTCCTGGAGGTCTTGTCCCGATGCAGCCATCCTCCTCTAGCTCTGAGGAGTCCTCCTGCTCTCCTGTCCCCGACTAACAATTGGATGCCCCTCTACCCTGCAAGCCTGGGAGCTTCCGGAGCACAGGGAGGGCTAGTTACACAGTATCCCAGTATCTGTTACTAAGACCCTAGTCACAGCTTACCTACACCCACTTGCAAACTCTTTGATGTCTATTTTGAGTTAGTTTGTGGGAAACACTTAGGGCAGCACTTGGCACATGGTAAATCCAATATGAGGGTAAGGTTTATTGATATTATTGACTTCCAATATACACATTCATAAGAAAAAGAAAAGATCTGTCCATTAAGAACTGGGGATCTATACCAGGTGGTGGTGGTGCACACCTTTAATCCCAGCATTCAGGAGGCAGAGGCAGGTGGATCTCTGTGAGGCAATCTCTGTGAGTTTGAGGCCAGCCAAGGCTACAGACTGAGTTCCAGGACAGCCAGGGTTACACAGAGAAACCTTGTCTCAAAAAAAGAAAAAAAGAAAAAAGAAAAAAGAACTGGGGATCTGAACCCATGGGGATTTGAGGACTAGACTTCTGGAGTCCTGTTTGGAATGGAATCTTCCTGACTAGCAAAGTGGACAGAGGCAGGCTGTCGGGCCTGACAGTGGACACAGAAATCGCATGCCTGCCCTGGGTGGACAGAGTCTCTGCCAGCAGACTGTGAGAAAGGAGCCCTCTGAGCCCATGGGCTTCTCCAGCCAGGTCTCCTGGGGCCGGTAGGACCAGGGAAAGGCCCCGATTAGTCCAAACTCTCTTTGGACCTACAGATCTGATCCCACAGCACTCTGGGGCCAACCGGCAGGAGTAAAAGGTTCCAGCCGGGCTCAGGGGACTTACAAACCGGCCACGGGGATTAGTGAGGCTGAAAAGAACATTTGCCTAGGAAGGAAAAACGGGAAGTGAGAGGCCGAGGATAACTCTCTATATGTCCCTGGGGACCCAAGTGGACCAATGAGGGACCGGGGGAGGTGGTGAAGTCTGGGGCATCTTGACAGGTCCTTGGTTCCGCCT